CAGTGTATCAAATACTTGTTCTCCCCACTGTAGATACTCACACCCTGACCAAACCAACTAGCGCACTCTATGTCAGGGCGTGACACTTATGAAGGTCATTGGTTGCACCAGATCTTATTTAGGGGCTTCTTAGCAAAGGGGGTGAATACAAATGCACGCACCACTTTTCATTTTATTTCACTTCAACAATTTGGACTATTTTGTGTATGTCCATTACATGAAATCCAAATAAAAATCCATTTAAATTACAGGTTGTAATGCAACAAAATAGGAAAAACGCCAAGGGGGATGAATACTTTTGCAAGGCACTGTAAGGGCAGCACAACATTTCATTTATGGATGTTTGTTTCTTTATCAGGTATGTCATGTGTTTTTGTTTTTTATGATATTTTACTGTTAGTTTTCAAGTGCACGTCATGTACTAACTGTAAGTAAAATCTGGCTGTTATTTATGAAAGTTGGCTAGCCCAGGCTCATAGACTATTCTTAAGCAATAATGCTCGAGGGGGTGTGGTATATGGCCAATATACCATGGCTAAGGGCTGTTCTTTCGCACGACGCAACGCGGAGTGCCTGGATACAGCCCTTAGCCGTGGTTTATTGGCCATATACCACACACCCCCAAGGTGCCTTATTGCTATTATAAACTGGTTAACAACATAATTAGAGCATTAAAAATAAATGTTTTGTCATACCCGCTGTCAGCCAGTCAGCATTCAGGGCTCGAACCACCTAGTTTATAATTGTCAAACGAGATTGTTATTCTTACCCTTTCTACTGTATCCATGTGTAAGAGAGTTGGTGCATAAGGGCCGCACAACATTCTAATTTATGGATGTTGTTTGTTTCTTTATCAGAGAATAAAAGATCAACACCAACCCTGATCCTTTGGTCATATGTACAGTATTTCACAAAAGTGAGTACACCCCTCACATTTTTGTAAATATTTGAGTATATCTTTTCATGTGACAACACTGAAAAATTACACTTTGCTACAATGTAAAGTAGTGAGTGTACAGCTTGTATAACAGTGTAAATCTGCTGTCCCCACAAAATAACACAACACACAGCCATTAATGTCTAAACCTCTGGCAACAAAAGTGAGTACACCCCTAAGTGAAAATGTCCAAATTGGGCCCAAAGTGTCAATATTTTGTGTGGCCACCATCATTTTCCAGCACTGCCTTAACCCTCTTGGGCATGGAGTTCACCAGAGCTTCACAGGTTGCCACTGGAGTCCTCTTCCACTCCTCCATGACGACATCACGGAGCTGGTGGATGTTAGAGACCTTGCACTCCTCCACCTTCCGTTTGAGGATGCCCCACAGATGCTCAATAGGATTTAGGTCTGGAGACATGCTTGGCCAGTCCATCACCTTTACCCTCAGCATTTTTAGCAAGGCGGTGGTCGTCTTGGAGGTGTGTTTGGGGTCATTATCATGTTGGAATACTGCCCTGCGACCCAGTCTCCGAAGGGAGGGGATCATGCTCTGCTTCAATATGTCACAGTACATGTTGGCATTCATGGTTCCCTCAATGAACTGTAGCTCCCCAGTGCCGGCAGCACTCATGCAGCCCCAGACCATGACACTCCAACCACCATGCTTGACTGTAGGCAAGACACACTTGTCTTTGTACGACATACAGTCATGTGTGCATACATTTTTACGTATGGGTGGTCCCGGGGATCGGACCCACTAAACTGTTTGCGGGCTTTCTTGTGCATCATCTTTAGAAGAGGCTTCCTTCTGGGACGACAGCCATGCAGACCAATTTGATGCAGTGTGCGGCGTATGGGTCAGCACTGACAGGCTGACCCCCCACCCCTTCAACCTCTGCAGCAATGCTGGCAGCACTCATACGTCTATTTCCCAAAGACAACCTCTGGATATGACGCTGAGCACGTGCACTCAACTTCTTTGGTCGACCATGGCGAGGCCTGTTCTGAGTGGAACCTGTCCTGTTAAACCACTGTATGGTCTTGGCCACCGTGCTGCAGCTCAGTTTCAGGGTCTTGGCAATCTTCTTATAGCCCAGGCCATCTTTATGTAGAGCAACAATTATTTTTTTCAGATTCTCAGAGAGTTCTTTGCCATGAGGTGCCATGTTGAACTTCCAGTGACCAGTATGAGGGAGTGTGAGAGCGATGACACCAAATGTAACACACCTGCTCCCCATTCACACCTGAGACCAATTTGGACATTTTCACTTAGGGGTGTACTCACTTTTGTTGCCAATGGTTTAGACATTAATGGCTGTGTGTTGAGTTATTTTGAGGGGACAGCAAATGTACACTGTTATACAAGCTGTACACTCACTACTTTACATTGTAGAAAAGTGTCATTTCTTCAGTGTTGTCACATGAAAAGATATACTCAAATATTTACAAAAATGTGAGGGGTGTACTCACTTTTGTGAGATACTGTAAGCAGATCAAAACACAAAGCAGAGGCAATCTACACCGGTCAAACATGTTATCTTGAACACAGGTTGATGTTTATTGTCATGAGTCTTGCCTTGAAGGCAGAACTGAGCGGTTTCCGCTAGATGGGCCAGCTGCAATGTCAAAATTGGCTATATTGTAAAAATTCATGAAAACAATAATTCGCTTTTTGGTCTTAATTTAAGGTTAGGGTTAGGGATTAGGGTTAGCAGTGTGGTTAAGATTAGGTTTAAAATCATATTGTATGACTTTGTGGCTGTGCCAGCTAGTGACATCTCTGTAGAGCTGCCTCCAGGGCAAGACTCATGACAATAAATGGCAATCTGCATCTTGAACATGCACGCTTTCTATGATTACATAAGAATATATTTATAGTTCCATTAAGCTATCCCAAACAGTTATTCTAATAAAACAGAATTACTCCCCCAGGGAACTTCTTTATAAAAAATGTCTCTTCTTAGGCAAAATGTATCATAAATTGTGTTATTAATGTTGAAATCCACGCAAACATTCAGATTTATAAATCTTGAACTTGAATGTGAAAATATGTGAATAACTTTGATTAACTTCTTATTTCTCTCTTTGGTTTCAAACTACTGTGTACCGATGTACAATTTCATACATTACAACATAAGGTTGTTGTTGTTTTTATGGTTATTGTATATGTTGTCCATAGGTTATTGTATATGTTGTCCATAGGTTATTGTATATGTTGTCCATAGGTTATTGTATATGTTGTCCATAGGTTATTGTATATGTTGTCCATAGGTTACTGTATATGTTGTCTATAGGTTATTGTATATGTTGTCCATAGGTTACTGTATATGTTGTCTATAGGTTGTGTTGTTGTACACTACCGGTCAAAAGTTTTAGAATACCTAGTCATTCAAGGGTCTTTCTTTATTCCTACTATTTTCTACATTGTAGAATAATAGTGAAGACATAAAAACTATGAAATAACACATATGGAATCATGTAGTAACCAAAATGTTTTTAAACAAGTCAAAATAAATGTTATATTTGAGATTCTTCAAATAGCCACCCTTTACCTTGATGACAGCTTTGCACACTCTTGGCATTCTCTCAACCAGCTTCATGAGGTAGTCACCTGGAATGCATTTCAATTAACAGGTGTGCCTTCTTAAAAGTTAATTTGTGGAATTTCTTTCCTTCTTAATGCGTTTGAGCCAATCAGTTGTGTTGTGACAAGGTAGGGGGGTATACAGAAGATAGCCCTATTTGGTAAAAGACCAAGTCCATATTATGGCAAGAACAGCTCAAATAAGCAAAGAGAAATGACAGTTCATCATTACTTTAAGACATGAAGATCAGTCAATACGGAACATTTGAAGAACTTTGAAAGTTTCTTCAAGTGCAGTCACAAAAACCATCAAGCGTTATGATGAAACGGGCTCTCATGAGGACCACCACAGGAATGGAAGACCCAGAGTTACCTCTGCTGTAGAGGATAAGTTCATTAGAGTTACCAGCCTCAGAACTTTCAGCCCAAATAAATGCTTCACAGAGTTCAAGTAACAGACACATCTCAACATCAACTGTTCAGTGGAGACTGTGTGAATCAGGCCTTCATGGTCGAATTGCTGCAAAGAAACCACTACTAAAGGACACCAATAAGGAGAAGAGACCTGCTTGGGCCAAGAAACACGAGCAATGGATATTAGACCTGTGGAAAGTTGTCCTTTGGTCTTTGGTTCCTACCGCCGTGTCTTTGTGAGATGCGGTGTGGTCGAACGGATGATCTCTGCATGTGTCTTTCCAACCGTAAAGCATGGAGGAGGAGATGTTATGGAGTGGGGGTGCTTTGCTGGTGACACTGTCTGTGATTTATTTAGAATTCAAGGCACACTTAACCAGCATGGCTACCACAGCATTCTGCAGCGATACACCATCCCATCTGGTTTGGGCTTAGTGGGACTATCATCAAACAGGACAATGACCCAATACACCTCCAGGCTGTGTAAGGGCTATTTTACCAAGAAGGAGAGTGATGGAGTGCTGCATCAGATGACCTGGCCTCCACAATCCCCCGACCTCAACCAAATTGAGATGGTTTGGGATTAGTCGGACGGCAGAGTGAAGTGCTCAGCATATGTGGGAACTCCTTCAAGACTGTTGGAAAAGCATTACAGGTGAAACTGGTTTAGAGAATGCCAAGAGTGTGCAAAGCTGTCATCAAGGAAAAAGGTGGCTACTTTGAAGAATCTCAAATATAAAATATATTTTGATTTGTTTAACACTTTTTTGGTTACTACATGATTCCATATGTGTTATTTCATAGTTTTGATGTCTTCACTATTATTCTACAATGTAGAAAATAGTTAAAAAAATAAAATAAAAAATAAAACCCTTGAATGACTAGGTGTTCTAAAACTTTTGACTGGTAGTGTATTTCTTAATCATTCCTGTCCACTCCTCTCTAGAGCTATTGAGATTCTGGGGTTGTTTTAACCTTATTTACCACCCAAGTCACCTCTGATGTATGATAAATGGTCCTCTTATTTGCAGTGTGGTGTGAAGTGACCATCTACATAATAACTCAGCGGAGGGCACAGCCCCACACCTGTAGGACAGAGGAACAGAGCAGTGGGAGTAGGAGCTGCAGTCCAAACCAAGGCCTGGGTGGTGTGGTGTAGATGATAAAGATGATAACACTATTTAGCTTTGGATGGGTCCCAAGTGTTTCTGTGGAGACACACTGCTGTCCTTAGACTATAGAGAATATGTCTGTACGTTGTGGGGGGAAAACACAGATACCATTTGGAACAATAGAGTGGCCGTTGCTGGGTTACGCACACATATTCATCTCACTTGGAAAGTGACAAGTTCTCTGTGTTACAACACACCCCTAGCTCACCTCAACTACTGTGCAAATGTAAATGTTTTTTTGTCCAAACAGTAGTAGGATTTACATACCAGAGCCATACAAATCATAGGATATCTTTTGTATGTGGGCCAGTAACTGCAAGGTTGCAGTTACAGTTGCTAGTTTGAATCACTGAGCCAACAAGGTGAAAAATCTGTCTATGTGCCTTTGAGCAAGGCCATTAAGCTTATGCTCTAGGATCACCTATGCAATTAAAAAATAATAATAATCACACATGCGTATAATACACACTTGTAGGACTACATGTGTGAAATAGGACAAATATAAGCACCCACCAAATTATATTATTATTGTAACTATAGTGTGGCCGGAGCTGATAGTGTGTAACAAGCTGTAATGAAACCAACCCTCCATTCCTAACAAAGCATTGTCCTGTCAGTCACTTCTACAACACACCCCTCAAGTATGCAGCTTGAATAGGTAATTACAGTCCCTTGCAAAAGTATTCAGACCCCTTGGATTTCCTTTCATTTTATTGTGTTACAAAGTGGGATTAAAATAGATTTAATTGTCTTTTTTTTTGTCAACAATCTACACAAAATAGTCTAATGTCAAAGTGGAAGAAAAATGATATATACACTACCGTTCAAAAGTTTGGGGTCACTTAGAAATGTCCTTGTTTTTGAAAGAAAAGCTATTTTTTGTCTATTAAAATAACATAAAATTGATCAGAAATACAGTGTAGACATTGTTAATGTTGTAAATGGCTATTGTAGCTGGAAACGGCTGATTTTTTATGGAATATCTACATAGGCGTACAGAGGCCCATTACCAGCAACCATCAGTCCTGTGTTCCAATGGCACGTTGTGTTTGCTAATCCAAGTTTATAATTTTAAAAGGCTAATTGATCATTAGAAAACACTTTTGCAATTATGTTAGCACAGCTGAAAACTGTTGTGCTGATTAAAGAAGCAATAAAACTGGCCTTCTTGAGACTAGTTGAATATCTGGAGCATCAGCAATTGTGGGTTCGATTACAGAATCAAAATGTCCAGAAACAAATAACTTTCTTCTGAAACTCATCAGTCTTTTCTTGTTCTGAGAAATGAAGGCTATTCCATGCGAGAAATTGCCAAGAAACAGAAGATCTCGTACAATGCTGTGTACTACTCCCTTCACAGAACAGCGCAAACTGGCTCTAACCAGAATAGAAAGAGGAGTGGGAGGCCCCGGTGCACAACTGAGCAAGAGGACAAATACATTAGTGTCTAGTTTGAGAAACAGATGCCTGACTGGTCCTCAACTGGCAGCTTCATTAAATAGTACCCGCAAAACACCAGTCTCAACGTCAACAGTGAAGAGGCGACTCCGGGATGCTGACCTTCTAGGCAGAGTTGCAAAGAAAAAGCCATATCTCAGACTGGCCAATAAAAATAAAAGATTAAGATGGACAAAAGAACACAGACACTGGACAGAGGAAGATTGGAAAAAAGTGTTATGGACAGACGAATCGAAGTTTGAGGTGTTCGGATCACAAAGAAGAACATTTGTGAGACGCAGACCAAATGAAAATATGCTGGAGGAGTGCTTGATGCCATCTGTCAAGCACGGTGGAGGCATTGTGATGGTCTGGGGGTGCTTTGGTGGTGGTAAAGTGGGAGATTTGTACAGGGTAAAAGGGATCTTGAAGAAGGAAGTCTATCACTCCATTTTGCAACGCCATGCCATACCCTGTGGACGGCACTTGATTGGAGCCAATTTCCTCCTACAACAGGACAATGACCCAAAGCACAGCTCCAAACTACACAATAACTATTTAGGGAAGAAGCAGTCAGCTGGTATTCTGTTTATAATGGAGTGGCCAGCACAGTCACCGGATCTCAACCATATTGAGCTGTTGTGGGAACAGCTTGATCCAACTTGTGGGAGGTGCTTCAGGAAGCATGGGGTGAAATCTCTTCAGATTACCTCAACACATTGACAACTAGAATGCCAAAGGTCTGCAAGGCTGTAATTGCTGCAGATGGAGGATTCTTTGACGAAAGCTAAGTTTGAAGGACACAATTATTATTTCTAACCTTGTCAATGACTACATTTCCTATGCATTTTTCTATATTTCCTATTCAAACTCATTTCATGTATGTTTTCATGGAAAACAAGGACATTTCTAAGTGACCCCAAACTTTTGAACGGTAGTGTATATTTTTAAGATTAATAAAAAATCTAATAAATCAAATATAGTTTTGCATAAGTATTCAGCTCCCTGAGTCCATACATATGGATATGCAATATTTGCCTATTATTCTTTTCACAATTCTTCAAGCTCTGTCAAATGTTGGGGATCATGGGTAGACCGCAATTATTACGTTTTGCCATAGTATTTCAAGCAGATTTAAGTCAAAACTGTAACTTGGCCACTTAGGAACATTCACTGTATTCTTGGTAAGCAACTCCAGTGTAGATTTGGTCTCGTGTCGTTGGTTATTGTCCTGCTGAAAGGTGAATTCCTCTCCCAGTGTCTGGTGTAAAGCAGACTGAAGCAGGTTTTGCTCTTGGATTTTGCCTGTGCTTAGCTCCATCCCGTTTACTTTTATCCTGAAAAACTCCCCAGTATTTGCCGATGTCAAACATACCCATATCATGATGCAGCCACCAGCATGCTTAAAAATAAGGAAGCAGTTAATCAGTGATTGGATTTGCCCCAAACACATGGCTTTGCATTTATGCCAAAAATAGTATTCCTTTACCATGCTTTTTTGCAGTATTACTTTAGTGTCGTAGATGCGTACAAGATGCATGTTTTGTAATATTTTTTATTTAGTTTATTTGTGTTCTTCTTTTCACTCTGTCATTTAGTTCATTATTGTGGAGTCAGTACAATGTTGTTGATCCACCCTCAGTTCTCTCCCATCACAGCCATTGAACTCTGTAGCTGTTTTAAAATCACCAATGGTCTCATGGTGACATCCCTGAGCAGTTTCCTTCCTGTCCTGCAGCTCAGCTCAGAAGGACGACTGTATCTTTGAGGTGTCTGGGTGGTTTAATACAATTATTTACCAGACCATGCTTAAAGAGATATTCAATGTCTGATTTGTTAGTATTACCCATCTGCCAATCACTGTCCTTTTTTACGAGGCTTTCGAAAAGCTCCCTGGTCTTTGTAGTTTAATCTGTCCTTGAAATTCAATACTTGACTGAGGGACCTTACAGATGTATTGGAGACAGAGGAAGGGTTAGTCGTTTAAAAATCACGTCAAACCCTATTATTTCACACGAGTGAGTCCATGTAACTTTTTATGTGGTTTGATAAGCCAAATTAAGCTTGCCTTAACAAAGGGGCTGAATACTTATGCAACGACTATATTTTAGTTATTTAACTTCGTAATAACCCTCCCGTTATCCTGGTATTCTGTACACACGCCGTGCCCTCCGGGTCGAACTGTCCCCCTCTCACTAAAGGCCCAATTGGAACATGTGGGACAGTATGCGTGCGAACAGCCTTTGCAGATGTATTTGTTACACCTGGTGCACACAGTGTGTGTTTTACAGTCCTTCTTTGTGGGGCAGACCTGACACCTCTTCCATTTACTGGGTTGTGCGGGGTCGGGTGCTTGGGCCGATGCATTGTTCGGTGCGTGGGCCGCTGCGGTGGGGCCTTGATCCCGGGGCTGATCACGATACGTAGCCCTCTGAACAGCTTTGACGAGCGCCGCAGAGGCTTCGGTGCGAGGGAGACGGGCCCTTCTTTGTATGAACGGAGTCACTAGTGCCTTTCCCAGCTGCTCGAGGAACACCCTCCTCTTGTTTCGCTTACCAGGCATCCAAGTAGGGTTGAGCTCTCGCCATATGACAAAAGTGTTGTAGGAGGACACGTCAAGGATGTTGTGGAAGATGACCAGGGGCCAGCGGGCGGTCATCCTCCTGCAGCTGTAGGTTCCAATCACCTTGTCTAGGTTGTCCACACCTCCCTTGTTGCTGTTGTAGTCTAGGACGATGGCCGGCTTCTTGTCCTGGCGACGGCTAACGTGAGCCTCGGTGTGCAGCGTGCTCAGGAGTAAGACGTTCTTGTTTTTCTTTGGCAGGTAGGACACTAGAGCGGTGGTGGGCGTGAAGGCGAACTTGGAGGAGAAGAGGAGCCTGTCCTTTGAGGCGAGCAGCGCCGGCGGGAGCTCTGGCTTGTTATTTCTGACTGTGCCGACCACGGTGACGTTCCTCCTCAGGAGCTGGCGCGCGAGCTCGTATGAGGTGAAGAAATTGTCGCAGGTGACGTTGTGACCCCTGAGTCCCTGCGTCAAATCGAGCACGACCCTCATCACCTGGTTCTTCTCGGGGCCTCCGCAGGTGGCCTTCCCGGTGTAGACCTGCATCTTCCAGGCGTAGCTGGATTTGGAGTCGCAGGCCACCCAGGTCTTGATGCCGTATTTGGCCGGCTTGCTTGGAATATACTGGCGGAAAGGACATCGGCCTGGAGGAGAGAGAGAGAGAGAGAGAGAGAGAGAGAGAGAGAGAGAGAGAGAGAGAGAGAGAGAGAGAGAGAGAGAGAGAGAGAGAGAGAGAGAGAGAGAGAATTAGTATTAGCGTGTTGTGTACGGTGTTGTTGTGCTCTTGTATGGTGTTGTTGGCCCGGCCCACCTCTGAAAGGGACCAGTTGCTCGTCCACCGTCACGTCGGGCCCGGGGTTGTAGAGGAGCGGCAGCCTCTCAACCCACTTGTCCCAGACCTCTCTCACGGCCGCAAGTTTGTCACAGCCACCTGCTGCGCGTCTCTCGGCTCTGGTCTGGCGGTCGTCGAAGCGAAGGAGTCTAGAGTAAGCATGAAAGACTTTGAGCGGCATGGTTGCGCGGAAAATGGTCCTCCCGCTCTCGGCGTCCCAGAGACTAGAGGCTGCTTCGCCTCGGGACCTGTACACGCCGGCTAGGATGAGCAGCCCTACGTAGGCTCGCAGGTCGGTGGAGTCCATCGCTTTCCAGCAGCGGTCGCGGTCGTGGTCTTCGTGGTCGTCGGCGTAGTGGCGGTGGTCGTCGTCGCGGCAGCCGTCGCCGTCGCCTCGGGCTCTGTATTTTCGAACGCCCTCCAGATTGGTCATCTCCAGGATGATGTCTTCTATCTCCAGTGTGAAAAACAGGCAGAACGTGGAGAGGATGTCGCGGGCTTGGCCTACGGCCTGCCTAGTAGGCCCGGGCCTCATGTCCTCCGGCACCTCAGCAACCAGCCTGTTACTTTTTGCCGCTGCGGCGGCCCCTCTGACGCCCCAATTGTTGTCACAGGGCACCGAGCACCATTGGATTTGGCCGTTTCTCGACACGAATGTCTCTCTTTCCACTCGAGGGATATCGTGTTGTGGTCGGGGGCTGAGGCGGCGGCGGCGGCGGTCTCCTCGCTCTCCTTCACCTTCCCCTTGTTCTTCTTCTCCTTCTTCTTCTTCTTGGTCGTCGTCGTCGTCATCGTCGTTGTCGTCGTCGTCATCGTCTCGTTCGTCTTCTACGCCTTGGCCTTCTTCTACGCCTTGGCCTTCTTCTACTTGGGCGTCGTCCTTGTCGGCGTCGGCGGCGTCGTAGTCGTCGTCGTCGTCCTCGGTGGTCTCCTCGTCCTCTGGGTTGTATTCCTCCCCGTCTTCTTCTTCGGACGCTTCCTCCTCCGCTTCCTCGTCGCAGTCAGAGTCAATGGAAAATATATGTTCTAGGACCTGTTTGGCCGTGAAACGCACAGCACTCATAATAGCTTCGGCACCCAGGCTGGGGAAGTCCCCAAGACCTCTCTTCGGGACGTGTCCGGACATGCCACCGAGGCAATATTAGTAGTAGTAGTAGTAGTAGTAGTAGTAGTAGTAGTAGTAGTAGTAGTAGTAGTACTAGTAGTAGTACTAGTAGTTGAAGTTGTAGTTGTTCTTGGTGTTTGTTTACGGCTTACCTACTACCTCTGGCTCAGAGCTTATGCCTCTAACGCGTAGCCTGGGTCGTTTTGACCCCGGCCAGGACAGGACAGGACAACGCTAGGGGTTATACAGCCACTCGCTCTAACACTCTAACACGTAGCCTGGGTCTTTTTGACCCCAGCCAGGAACAGGACAACGCTAGGGGTTATACAGCCACTCGCTCTAACACGTAGGCTCTGACACGTAGCCTGGGCCGTTTTGACCCCGGCCAGGACAGGACAACGCTAGGGGTTATACAACCACTCGCTCTAACACTCTGACACGTAGCCTGGGCCGTTTTGACCCCGGACAGGACAGGACAGGACAACGCTAGGGGTTATACAGCCACTCGCTCTAACACTCTAACACGTAGCCTGGTACTTTTTGACCCGGACAGGACAGCGGGAGGGGATATACAGCCACTAGCTCTAACACGTAGGCTCTGACACGTAGCCTGGGTCGTTTTGACCCCGGCCAGGACAGGACAACGCTAGGGGTTATACAGCCACTCGCTCTAACATGTAGGCTCTGACACGTAGCCTGGGTCGTTTTGACCCCAGCCAGGACAGGACAACGCTAGGGGTTATACAGCCACTAGCTCTAACACGTAGGCTCTGACACGTAGCCTGGGTCGTTTTGACCCCGGCCAGGACAGGACAACGCTAGGGGTTATACAGCCACTCGCTCTAACACTCTAACACGTAGCCTGGGTCATTTTGACCCCGGACAGGACAGCGGGAGGGGATATACAGCCACTCGCTCTAACACGTTGGCTCTGACACGTAGCCTGGGCCGTTTTGACCCCAGCCAGGACAGGACAGGACAACGCTAGGGGTTATACAGCCACTCGCTCTAACACGTAGGCTCTGACACGTAGCCTGGGTCTTTTTGACCTGGACAGGACAACGCTAGGGATTATACAGCCACTCGCTCTAACACGTAGGCACTGACACGTAGCCTGGGTCGTTTTCACCCCGGCCAGGACAGGACAACGCTAGGGGCTATACAGCCACTCGCTCTAACACGTAGCCTGGGTCATTTTGACCCCGGCCAGGACAGGACAACGCTAGGGGTTATACAGCCACTCACTCTAACACGTAGCCTGGGTCATTTTGACCCGGACAGGACAACGGGAGGGTTAATCTTATTTTTATTTTTAACTTTTTTCTCACTTTGACATAACATAGTATTTTGTGTATATTGTTGACAACAAAAAAAAACTGATTAAATCCATTTTAATACCACTTTGTAACACAATAACATTTGAAGAAATCCAAGTGGTCTGAATAGCACAAGGAACTGCATCTATTTCTAACTAAACAGTAGTGACCATACAAATCAAAAGACAATGTATTTTTAACAAGTCAACACAGATAACAATAGTGTGGCCGTAGTGTAGATGGTATCAACCAACAAACAGTGGTCTATTTACCAGTGACCTTATCCTATTTCTTCTTCTTCTTCTTCCTTCTTGAAAGAGAATGGTTTAGCCTATTAAGTTCTAGTTAGCCTGGCCTATACCGCCCTCCAGCCCTGCGAGAGAAACGCAATGAGATTAGAAAAATAATGAATAACAAAAGAGATTACAAATAAACAAACCTTGACAGATAAAAAAATTAAAATGGATGTGAGGAAAATGAAAGTGCAAATTTTAGACTGAGCTTTTCATTTATGGAAATCTCTCAAGGCCCAGCGTGTTCCTCTTCTAAGAGGCCTTGGTGTCTTATGAATCTCTCTGGCAGCTGGCTGGGTTAAATCATTGGGGCTGTGTCTGAAATGGCACCCTATTCCCTATGTAGAACATTACTTTTGATAGTCAAAAGTAGTGAACTATACAGGGAATAGGGAGCCATTTTGGACACACCCTGGGTTTATAATTTATCAGACAGACAGAACGAGGCATAACTGAGAGAACAGAACAGTTATTTTACCGATGTAATGGATGACAAGTCTTAAGTTTAATGTTTTATAGAACATAAAGCTTGCGAGGCGAAGGAGATTGCATCATGTTATCATGTTACAATTAGGTAATAAATCTGGTGAACACTGGTTGCATTCCAAATGGTACCCTATTTCCTATATAGTAGACTACTTTTGACAATAGGGCTCTGGTCACAAGTAGTGCACTATATAAGGAATAGCGTGCTATTTAGGACTCAGTTACTGTCTCTGCATATCAATTATTCCTCACAAGTAACTCTTTACAATGTTCATTAATTATTTAACATGATTTAATGTAGCTATCATGAAGGAATCATTCATTAAAGAGATTGAACGGGATCTTAAGCACTTACAAATTCGTAACATATCATAGGAATTGCAGGATAATTTTTTTAAATAATAATTGTAGGATGTAACATATCATATGAAATGGATGACGTTGTATACAATTGTGCACCATTTTCGGGGAGCCATTTTGGCTCATAGCACTACCTTCAAAATTACTGGCTGAAATTATACAAAACCTTTATAACGCATCTGTAATGCATTTATAAAACAAAGAGCTACTTATATATGTTTATGAGGCCATAAAGATATTAACAAACCCAGTTAAAAAGCTAATTACTCATAGTAAGGGGTAAATATTTCACCATTATGTCTATTGATTAAGTTCTTATCAATCTATGTTAATGAATGTAGCCTTAGGGCTCAATTCAATCAGATCCGCTTTAGCCGACTACCGCATATCAAATCAAATTGTATTTGTTACATGCGCCGAATACAACAGGTGTAGACCTTACCGTGAAATGCTTACTTACAAGCCCTTAACCAACAATGCAGTTCAAGAAATAGAGTTAAGAAAATATTTACTAAATAAACTGAATTAAAAAATAAAATAAAAAGTAACACAATAAAATAACAATACCGAGGCTATATACAGGGGGTACCGGTACCGAATCAATGTGCAGGGGTACAGGTTAGTCGAGGTAATTTGTACATGTAGGTAGGGGTAAAGTGACTATGCATAGATAATAAACAGAGAGTAGCAGCAGTGTAAAACAAAAGCAGTTGATTTGACAGTGTCAGAGGTGGAACTGCTGTTAGAGCTGTCAGATCCCCAAGTGGCTCTAGGCATTATACCTAAAGCGGACATTTCCATTGGCTCATTAACAGAAATCCCATGCAGCCTTGTTTACAAGTTCAAACACTGGAATGTGAAATGTAATCTACAGCTCAATTAGGTAGAATGATAGAAATCCTCATTATTTTGTTTATTGATTTTTCATTTTGAGCGTAATTACTTCTATAGCCTACACTTTCTCATTCTGAACTTCTAACGCGAGTGGGGCGCGTGTGGCTTTGTGACAATGATCCCAAGTGCAGCTGCTCACAGATTTGATGGCTTCAACACAGTTACACCGCCAAAACATCCACTATGCGGGTGTCCACTATCACTGGTTAATGCTTGATCTGATTGAATCTAGTCCTTATTGTAAAGTGTAACCATTTCATCTTTCCATTAGCGCATTATCTCGTTGTTTAACATACAGAAAAATCTGGTGGTAAAACATTTTCAGCTAGTAATAAAGCATACCCACTAGGCACAGACATCAATTCATTGAAATGACATGGAAACAAAGTTGATTCAACCAGTGTTTGCCCAGTGGGTAGTGACTAGTTTCTGTCTTGTTTCTGTTTGCTGAACCTTCAACCCAGCAGTCAGGACACCCGTCTGTCAGTCTGCCTCGCTCCCCCTGATTTCCATCAACAACTCCTTTCAATCACTGAAACTATTTCTCCGAGCTGACTTCTATGTTGGCTTTCAATCTACTCTGAAAATTGAAGCTCAGATGTCCCTTCCCCCAGTGTGTGGATGTGTGTGTGGTCTGCTTCTGTGAGAATGAAAAGACATGAGTTGAATCCACAAACAGGGCTGAACTTCCACAACCTAACAACGTGAATGTCATTCCTGTGCTGCAGCAAATTGTGTATTTCTTTCTCTCCTGGCCCGAGGATGTATTCCTCATAATTAACAAACATGAAACGCACCACCAATCTCTCCGAGGTCAAGCAGCACAATTGACTAACTAATTCATGGGTCAGAAATGATATACGTTCTATATTATAATTCGTAATTGGATATGGAGGAGATACTCTGTGAGAAATGTTTCACATGTCCCCATTGGTGATATGGTAGGAAATAACTGCTACATTTTACAGTTATTTTAATGCCTTTATCTGTACAGTATAAAAGGCAGGGGATCCTACAACACAATCGTTTTGGCATCAGCTCAGTCTTCAATGTGTAGGTGTAGGCACCAAATGGGAGAAGATGGGAAATAAGATAGTAAAATAAATGCAGTTAATCTTGTTGTGCCAAAGAGGACCAATAATGTCTGAGGACTGACATTCTCAAAGGTTATGTCAGAATTTCAGACATAGCTAAGTAAAGGAAATATGTTGCCATGGAATATATCTGCTGGGAGGTTGAGAGGTTTGTAAACCTGGCAGCATCTAGAATTCATTATGTTAGTTCATGAAAGGGATTCAACCAAGGTCAACAGCACAACACAAGCAGACACAAAGCAAACAGTACTGTCCTCTACACAAAAAAAGGTGCTGACAACAGCTCTGGTGGACATTCGTGCAGTCAGCATGCCAATTGCATGCTCACTCAAAACTCGAGACATCTGTGTTGCGTGACAAAACTGCATTTTTTAGATTGGCCTTTTATTGTCCACAGCACAAGGTGCACCTGTGTAATGATCATGCTGTTTAATCAGCCTCTTGATATGCCACACCGGTCAGGTGGATGGATTATCTTGGCAAAGGATAAAATGCTCACTTACAGGGATGTAAACAAAACATTTGAGCTAAATAAGATTTCTGTGGGTTGGAAAATGTATGGGATCTTTTATTTCAGC